GTAATGTGATGCCTCCAGATTTGTTATTTTTACTTAATCTTGCTTTGGTTTTGTGGGCCCGTTTTTGGTTTCATATGAATTTTAGGATTTTTTCTAGTTCTGTGAAGAATGATGGTGGTATTTTGAGGAAAATTGCATTAAATTTGAAGATTACTTTTGGCTGTATGGCCATTTTCACAATAGTGATTCTACCCATACAAGAGGAAAGTTGATAGCATTAAATACCTATATCAAAAATCTGAAAGAGCACGAATAGACTAATTATGGTCACACCTCATGGAACTGGAGAAACAAGACCATCCAAACCAAACCCAGCAGAAAGAAATAACAAAGATGGCTGGGCGCAGTGGCTCAAGCCTGTAATCCCAGCACTTTGGGTGGCCGAGGCAGGTGGATCACGAGGTCAAGAGATTGAGACCATCCTGGTCAACAAGGTGAAACCCCGTCTCTACTAAAAATACAAAAATTAGCTGGGCATGTTGGTGTGTACCTGTAGTCCCAGCTACTTGGGAGGCTAGGCAGGAGAATTGCTTGAACCAAGGAGGTGGAGGTTGCAGTGAGCTGAGATTGTGCCATTGCACTCCAGTCTGGGTAACAACAGTGAAACTCTGTCTCAAAAAAATAAATAAATAACTAAATAACAAAGATTAGTGCAGAGCTAAATGAAATTGACACACACACAAAAACACAGGATAAATTAAACAAAACGCTGGTTCTTTAAACAAAAAGATAAATAAAATTGATGGATAAATCAATAAAAGAAGAGAGATTAAAAAAACTCAAAGAGAAATGAAATGGGAGCTATTACAACTGATACTACAGAAATACAGAAGATTATTCAAAGCTATTACGAACACCTTCATGTGCATAAACTAGAAAACCTAGAGGAGATAGATACATTTCAGACAATATACAACCCTCTAGATTAAACCAGGAAGATGCAGAATCTCCTAACAGACCAATAACAAGCAGCAAGATTGAAATGGTAATTAAAAAATTTCCAACAAAAAAAATGTCCAGGACTAGACAGATTCACTGCTGAATTCTATCAAGCATTCAGAGAATTGGTACCAATCCTGTTGACACTATTCCAAAATATAGAGAAAGAGGGAATCCTCCCTAAATCATTCAGTGAAGCCAGTATCACCTTAATACCAAAACCAGGGAAAGACATAACAAAAAAAGAAAACTACAGACCAATGTCCTTGATGAACATAGATGCAAAAATCCTCAACAAAATACTAGTGAACTGAATCCAACAGCCTATTAAAAAGATAAATACACCATGATCGAGTGGGTTGCATACCAGGGATGTAGGGATAGTTTAACATACATAGCTCAATAAATGTAGTACACCACATAAACATAATTAAAAACAAAAAAAAATCACATGATCCTCTCAACAGATGCAGAAAAAGCATTTGACAAAATCCAGCATTGCTTTATGTGTAAAAATTTCAGCAAAATCAACGTAGAAGGGACATACCATAAGATAATAAAAGCTATCTACAACAAACCAACAGCCAACATTATACCAAATGGGGAAAAGTGGAAGTCATTTCCCCTGAGAACTGAAACAAGACAAGGATGCCCACTATTACCACTTCTATTCAGTGTAGTACTGGAAGTCCTAGTCAGTACAATCAGAAAAGAGAAAGAAATAAAGGGCATCCAAATAGGTAAAGAGGAAGTCAAACTGTCACTGTTTGCCGATGATATGATCATATACCTAGAAAACCCTAAAGACTCATCCAAAAAGCTCCTAGAACTGATAAGTGAATTCAGCAAAGACTCAGAATACAAAATTAGTGTACACAAATAAGTACCTCTGCTATATGCCAACTGCGACCAAGCTAAGAATCAAATAACAAACTCAACCTCTTTCAGCGTAGCGACCAAACAAACAAACAAAGAAACAAATAAATAAAATACTTAGGAATACACCTAACCAAGAATATGGAAGAGCCCTACAGGGAAAACTATAAAACGCTGCTAAAAGAAATAATAGACAACAAAACAACTGCTTTTAAAATCAGTTAAATAAAGAAAGAAAAAGAAATAAGAATTTATACTATCTGTTATAGTTGTATAATTACCTCTATTGATGATCTCTTTTTGTGTGGATTTGAATTACTATCTGGGGTTGCTTGCTTTCAACCTGAAGAACTTCTTTAATTATTCTTGTTAAATGACTGCAAGCAGCAACTCTTCTCTGTTTTTGATTATTTGGAAATTTCTTCATTGTATTTAAAATTTTGAAATATCGTTTTTATGATATAAGATTCTTGGTTGGTCAGCAGCCTTTTTTGAGAACTTTCAATATGTTTTTGTACTGTCTTCTAGTGTCCTTCGTTTCTGGTGAGAAGTCATCTGCAAATTGTATTTGGGTTGCCTTTTAAGTTATGAGTCATTTTTTTCTTAATGCTCTCAAGATTTTCTCCTTGTCTATAACTTTCAGTATTTTGACAATGCTGTATCTGTAAGTCTCCTTACATTTATCCTACTTATACATGTATGTTTGTGTACTTAATAATACCTACATTTCTCTGAGGCTGTGTTCTTTCTTTGTTCTTTTTTCCTTTCTCTTATTTGGATTGTATTGTCTCCATAGGTTTATCTTCACGTAGGCTGTCTTTCTTCTGCCAGTTCAAATCTACTGTTGAGCTCCTCTAGTGATTTTTTAATTTCTGTTGTTATATCTTCAGCTCCAGAGTTTCCATTTGTTTCTTTTTAAAAAATTCTATGACCTTACCAATACTGATAATTTTGTATTTGATAAATTTTTGTCATTATATCCTTCTTTCTTTCTATAATTATAATTGTCTTTAGTTCTTGGGATGTATTTCTAATGGCTACTCTGAATACTTTGTAAAATCTGATATCTGGTTGTTATCACAGGCAGTTTCTTCTTCCCTCTTTCTTCTCCCAGTATATGTTTTATTTTCCTGTTTCTTTGAATGGTTTTGCAGGTTGGGTTGCAGTTGGGTTGGAAACTAAATGTTTTAGATAATAGATTGTAGCAACTATAGATTCTAGTCTTCCTCCCTTTCAGCTTTTTATTCCTATTTGCTTAGTGAGCAGCTGGATTATTTTAGTAAAGTCTATTTCTCTTCCCTACAGTGCTTAGCTTCTGATGTTGCAGGTCTGTGAAGCTCGTCATGCTGTCATGTTGCCTTACTATTTTTAAACGTGCAAAACATTAGACATGGGTCCCAGATTCTTTCAAGTGACTTATTGCTTTTGTTGATGAAATTTTGTCATGAATAAGCTTTTGAAATAAAAAGATTAAATGGAATATGTTTTCCTTTTAGAAAGAAATAGAATATGTTGTATTCTTATAGCATGCCAGTATTCTTGTAGCATGGAATAACTTTGATTTCTTTATTGCATGTTTTATTTATATTAAAAACTGGTATCTATAAGAGGAAAGCCTACTGTAGTTGCATGTGCATTCAGACTTTAATCACAATTAGGATTAAGACCACTTTTTTCTTTGATAGTGGGAAATTTGCAATTATTTTCTTTTTTGAGAAATGAAATGAGTAGTTAGGTTACTATTTGCTATTTGAAAGTTGAAAGGAATTTTGTTCTAACAAGCATGTCTGAGTCTTATTTTAATAATGATGTATGAACACTTTTCAGAACTGTATATTAAAATTTACTCTTCCTTTTATAACCATTTTGTTGTTTTATATTTTCAGTGTAAAAACTTGGAAAAATAAAAATAGCATACGTCTTGTAGATCTGAATTTAAATTCCAGTTGGATCTCTTAGTAGCAGGGTGACCTTGGTCATATACCTTCATCTCTGTAGGCTTCAGTTTCTGCTGTAAAAGCAGGATATAGTTATAAAATTGCCGTATTGTACCAACAAAAACAGGATGTGCATAAAAAACCGGCACTTTTGTTAAACTCAGTACCCAGTAAGTGTTAATTCCTGTGCTTTGAGAGAATAATTTATTTCACACAGAATTTAAAAGATATTAGCATTTATTCATGCCAAATGGTTCTTGATATGTTTTTTCTTTTTTGCCTTTTAATTATTATTATTTTTTTAAATTATGCTTTAAGTTCTGAGGTACATGTGCAGAACATGCAGGATTGTTACAGAGGTATACACTTGCTATGGTGGGTTGCTGCATCCATCCCCCCATCATCTACATTAGGTATTTCTCTTAATGTTATCCCTCCCCAATCCCCCTACCCACTGCTATGCCTCCCATGGCCCTAGTCCAACAGACCCCAGTGTGTGATCTTCCCTTCTGCATGTCCATGTGTTCTCATTGTTCAACACCCACTTGTAAGTGATAACATATGGTGTTTGGTTTTCTGTCCTTGTGTCAGTTTGCTGAGAATTATGGCTTCCAGATTCATCCCTGTCCCTGCAAAGGACATGAACTCATCCTTTTTTATGGCTGCATAGTATTTCATGGTGTATACGTAGCACATTTTCTTTATCTGGTCTATCATTGATGGGCATTTGGGTTGGTTCCAAGTCTTTGCTATTGTAAACAGTGTTGCAATAAACATACATGTTTATGTGTCTTTACAATAAAACAATTTATAATCCTTTGAGTATATACCCAGTAATGGGATTGCTGGGTCAAATGGTATTCCTACTTCTAGATGTGTGCTCCTGATGTGTGCTCTATTTTCTGTCTTATTTATATTTTTATTAGTTTTTTTAAATTATATTTTGCTGTTTGTTGGGTATTTCTTAGTCTTTTTCTAATAGTAATCTTTTGTTATATTAATCACTTGTTTTAGTTTTCTTTATTACATGATCGACTTGTTTATTTTATCATGTTTATAGTTTCCTATTCTATAGTTTTTCAAAAACTCATTTTCTCATCTTATATAATGTGGGAACATAGAGAATATTCTTTTATTTTATTAAGAATAAGGACAAGTAAAGCTATAAACTTTTTTACAAATGTTGCTTTGACCATTTCCTATAGATTTTGACACATAATTATTATTCTCTTAATATTCTTCTCTTACCTTCTGAGCCTGTGATCTTCAGGGATAAACTGGAAACAGACCGACTAGTTGAAGAAGCCATCATAACCATCATCTGAAAGGCTACAGCCAACAGTCTTAACTGAAAATACTAACTGGGTGTCAGAATGTTGGGGCCTAGAAATAAAATTAACCAGTACTAATTGAATGCTTATGTGTGCTGAACACTGTCCTCCTCACAGTATTTTTGCATATCACCTTAACTGTCACAATAGTGTTGTGACAATTGTCCCATTTACTTCTTTCTGCAATTGAAGATATTGAAGTAGTCAAATGATTTACCAAAGAGCACAGAACAAGTAAAATCTATTTCTCAGGAATCCTAGTTGAGTACTTGCTCCACCGCTGTGCTATCCCACCTCTTTAAGTCTCTTACAGGCTTATTTAGAGCCCAAATCTTACCATCTGAAATATCAGTGGTGGTCATTGTTACCTTTTAATTAACTTTGTGGGGAAAAGAATGGATTGTCTTGTTGATATGGTTTGGCTGTGCCCCCACCCAAATCTCAGCTTGAATTGTATCTCCCAGAATTCCCACATAGTTTGGGGGGGCGCAGGGAGAGGTAATTGTATCGTGGAGGTCTGTGTTTCCCATGCTATTCTCATGATAGTGAATAAGTCTCATGAGATCTGATTGGTTTATCAGGGGTTTCCACTTTTTCTTCATTCTCAATTTTCTCTTGATGTTGCCATATAAGAATGCCTTTCTGAGGCCTCCCCAGCCATGTGGAACTGTAAGTCCAATTAAACCTCTTTCTTCTCAGTCTCGGGTATGTCTTTGTCAGCAGTTGAAAACAGACTGATACACTTGTCTTTAAAATATTACTTGTGATTAGTTAACCTAAGAGAAGATATGGATATCAATGAGAGCAGTTTTCCAATATAGGAAAAGGCTCACATGTGAAAGGGCTCACTGATCTATTTCACATTACTCCATAAAACCGTGTCTGATAAAAGCAGTGTATAGAACATCATAGAAGTTACAGTTAAATATATAACTGCTATGAGACAAACACCGTGCCACAAGAACATTATATATGTTATTTTGGAGAATCCTTATCACAGTTAAAAGTCGTGGGTATTATATATATTTTTTTCCCTTGTTTATAGATTAGGATGTTGACACCTCAAAATGTTAAGTAACTCATCTAACATTGCAGAAACAGGAAGTAGCACAGCTGGTATTTAAATTAAGCAATCTGACTTCAAGACCCGACATCCTATCAATCATTTTTGCTTAATTGTCTCTTCTGAAAACTATAATAAGGCAGAATGTTAATCTATAAAAAGGAAAACACTAAGAATGTGGAGCTTCAGGAGGTACCAGATGGACTGATCCTTGTAGAGGCTATGCCCTATGTGGGCTTTGCCCACAAAAGAAAGAGGGACTCTGTGAACTGAAGCTCATTCTAACTAATCCTGTGTAAGACTCTAGAACAATATTTTTAGAAATAGAGTGAGTAGTGTGAGATAGAAAAGTCAGACTGCTTTGTGTCAATGGGTCAAGTGGAGTAGGTGAAATATCTTCTTACAGATAGAATCCACATTTAGATGGACAGTCTAACTCTATGCTCTTTTAATTCTTTTTCAGTGGCCTTTAAAAAACTTTTTGAAATTAAATATTAATTTTTGTTTTGCCATCAATAAAAATTAAAACAAGAGATCTCAGGTTTTTCAGTGTGTAGTTCACATTCATACACTAGAAATTTAGAATTCCCCTCAAGATAGTAAGAGATTCAAGAGAACACAAAAATATAATTACAATGCAAATACTAATCTCATACACAGGTGTCTTGAAGATTCTATAGACACATCTATATTTGTACACGATAAAAATTTTTCACCCATCAGCACAGTAGGGCTCCTTGAGGAAAGCCCTGATTGTCCTGTGCAACCCCTGTTATACATACATATGGCCATGTGCAGGAGATGTGCACCCTTTCTTAGATGCCAGGTTAATATTAATCTATACCAATTATTCAAAATAAGTTATACCAACTCTACAGCATTTTGATAATTCACTCAACTCAATGCTATACCTAACAAACTTTGCCATAACAGTGTTTTATAGTGAGCACCATGGAACAGCTGTATGTATCAACAGTTAAGACAAAATTAATTTTATACATTCATCAATCATAGGGCACACCTGTGATGAATCCATAGTACAACTATTTATTTGATAAGCACAATGAAAGCTATTGTATTTTAATCACTAATGCTCCCTGGGATAAGCTGGTGGCTGAATTAAGAATCTTTTTATTATCACTGTTCATGAACTGAACTTTATGTCAATAAATCTTAAGCATATCTTCATTTACAGGGAAGGTCTGCCCCCTATTTTACTATTGGATGGAATAACCCCTAACTGAAGTCTTCAGACTGCATGGGAAAGTCTCACTGTGACTCAGTGGCCACTGTTGCCAGAGGAATAAACTCCATGAGCCCCTGTTTCTGATTATTGACTTATTGCCATGAAACTCAGGCAAGTTATTAAACTTTTGTGAGTTTCAATTTATTTTCCTATAAAATGCTGATATTGATAGTATCTTCTCTGTGAGATCATGTTGTAAAAATAAAATGAAATAAAGCCTTAAAAGACTGTCATACACTGTAAAGTACCATGAAGGAAAAAAGTTATTACTGTTTAAACAGTGACGATCTGGCAGAGCCTGGACTATAGCCAAAAGAGGCTGACTCAGAAGGAGGTTTGTAGGGGAGCTGGAGGCTTGCTGAGGCATTGCTAAGGAAACCAGTAGAGAAATATACGTCACTCAGCCCCATCCTTATCTGCCTACTGCAGAGTATCTACCAAGAGCACAAACAGTGCAAGGGATCAGTCATGGATAATTTGAGAAAAAACACATCAGATTCCATTTAAGGAAAGAGAGAAAGTGGGAGCAAGCTCCAAAGAAGGAAAATGTTTCTCTTGGTTGCAAAGAGAAAGCACTTCCTGAACATTTCTAATCGACATGTGTAATGCCATCTGGAAGGCAGAGGGAGAAAGCTGGCTCTTAGGTTTCCTTTCCGAAGGGGAAGCCTTTGTCCCTGGCATCATTTGAATATTTGTAAGGAGCTGAAGTTTAGTAGCATAAGCCCTGGGAGTCCCTCTGGGCTTAGCTAGTGGATTTCACCGTCAGCTTCTTTGCTGAGTATAATAAACAAGTTGGGGTAAAAATGAGTTTTGTGACCATGGGAACTAAATTTGTGGAGAGTCCCCTATGTTCCTTTTTATCTTAGCAACATCTTTCATATAATCTCATACTTTTCCATTAACGCTTTTCCTCCCATAGTCCTGATTGCTGTGAGGGGTTATTCTTTTTGTTCCCTCTGTAACTGAAATCGTGGGTACCAAGTAAACATGACAGCCTGAACTTTCCTGAATGGAAGTCCTTACTGCCCATTCTCACCCTCAAGAGTACTCCTCACCCTGCATCAGAACTTCATTCCTAGGTGTCTCTATTTATGTTATCTCTATTTATGCTATCACTAAAAGCCACAAATGCTGGCTGTTTTTGACCCTTCTCTTTCTCTTACCTAGCATAATGTCAGTAAATCCTACTGATTTTATCTCCCTGGATCTACCCAGCCCTCTTCCTCCCACCAGGACTTCTCTGATTTGAACTTTTATTATGTATTGTCTGGACCATGGGTTTGGGCATCATCTCTAGCTTTCAGTCACTTTAATATCTCTTCCTAAACCAGCTAAAAACATCTTTCCAAAGGGCAGACCAATGTGTGACATTTTCTTGCTTGAAAGTTTCTAACTCCCTATTACCTACAGAAGTGCATACTCCTCTGTGCCATTTGAGTGAGTTCCTTTTAGGGGAAATACTGCATGACCAAACAAATAATTGCAGTGTTAAATGGGGCTTAACGGAGTGTGGTTTTGAACTAAGCCCTTGACATGATCAAGATTCCTCAACAGAGAAGGAATGGTTGTAGAGAATACAGAGAAGACTAGGTATGTAATCAAAGTTGTGTTTAAAATATTCGTCTCATAATTCCATTGGTCATTAGCAGCTATTTAGGTTTCTGAATTATATTTGGCTTGGATAACTGGGAGTAGTAGAGATGTCATGTGATAAACGAGGGATGTGTTAAATAAACAGCTAGAAAATCTGTTCCTTTGCAGGTTTGGAAGTATGAAAATTGGACTTGGGATCATCATTGAGAATAGGTAGGTGGGGTTTGTTGGAGAAAGCTGTTTATGGCCCATTTTAAAAACTAGATCACACTCAAAAATATTTGTGTTTTGCTTAGTAGCCTGCATGTTCTCATTTTAAGCACTGTTATTTGTAGCATTAAAAAACACTTAAAAGACAAAAAGTCTGGCTTTTTAAGAACTAGGAATCTTTTGCTGAAATCTCTATTTCTGTCATTCTTTTACATAGGGAATGGTTCAGAAATCGAACTAGAGGGTCTGTGGTTGATAGTTCAGATAACCACATGGGGAGAGGAAAGAGAAGAAATTGAGACCACAATAACTGATTTTGGTTAAGGCTAATTAAAAGTAGAAATAAGATATGCTCTCATATGCTTAAATATTCAAAGGGATACAATAGTTAGTTCTGGGAATGTATTTCTGCAATAGTATGAGATATTTTCACTTTTAATTTAATATCTTTATATATGAATTGTGTTTAACCATGAGGATATACTACTTTTATTAAAAAGTAATCAGACAGGCTTATATGTACTGCCATGGAAGGAATCCTAACTATACTGTTAACTGAAGAAAAGTGATAAATGTTATATATTGCATAATTTTACCTTGCTAGTAAATGTTTACATATATTCACATACGTGTATTTCTATTATAAATTTGTTAGCAGGCGTATATGTATGGAGAAAAAAGTATATTGAAGAGTAGATGCAGTAAATTGTTAGTTATATTTGTGTTTCCTGTGTGAGAGATTTCAGAGACGTTAACTTTTTGGGAAATGTAGGCCTATTACGTTTTAATTTTAAATAATGGGCTAACCTTATATGGTGAGAAAAAATAATAGAAAGTATATTTCTTATCAATTTCCAAGAAACACCCCACATTTGATGTGGTTTATCATAACAAATTTTTTTTTTTTTTTT